CTCTAAAACATCTAGACACACCAACTCACACACGCGCGGACACACACTTGTACACACACACGCACACCTATGAACTGGTATGACTGTAACACTGCAACTATGTAAAATAAAATCAATAATTCAACTACAATGCAGTAAAAAAGTGGACCGCAAGGAAGGGATTACACTAAAACATCAACAGTGTAAAACAGATACATCCACTCACACACTTACTTACACACACTCACAGACACACACATACAGAATTATACATACTCAAATGAACTGGTATGGCTTTAACCATATAGCCAAAATGAGTCAGAAGACTGAAATAAGAGGTTAAAATCAGATCAGACCCAGAAGGATTAATCTCTGATAAAGCATTTCTGTTAATTTTTGTTACATTTTCATAGAATTTTAATGTTTTGTGTAACAAAATGCTTTCTGTGTTCAGGTTTGAATGTAGTAATAATAATGCAAAAACCTACACTTCAAATCAACATTTAAAACAACAAAACCTTGTTTTTTTAAACCTTGACAAAAAGTGGTCTTTGAGAATGCCTTAATATACATTTAAATCCACAACCTAATAAAAGTAAACAATTATGTATAAAAAACAACGGGGGAATCCACAAGCCTCTCTATAGAGTCCTATACAGGAATCTAGTGGTTACACCATGAAATTACAGGATTTTCTTTTTTTGCTCTCACCAGGAGGTGCTATTCTGCCTTCAAAAATGGAATTTTAAAGGTCTCTATTTTAATCTGAAATACTGCATTAATTGAAAAATTGTATCATAATTATTACATGAATATTAATTAGTACCATAAAATTCTCTCAAAATGCAAAATGTGTAACAAAATGCTTTCTGTGTTCAGGTTTGAATGTAGTAATAATAATGCAAAAACCTACACTTCAAATCAACATTTAAAACAACAAAAAATATAAACCTTGACAAAAAGTGGTCTTTGAGAATGCCTTAATATACATTTAAATCCACAACCTAATAAAAGTAAACAATTATGTATAAAAAACACGGGGGGAATTCACAAGCCTCTCTATAGAGTCCTATGCAGGAATCTAGTGGTTACACCATGAAATTACAGGATTTTCTTTTTTTGCTCTCACCAGGAGGTGCTATTCTGCCTTCAAAAATTGAATTTTAAAGGTCTCTATTTTAATCTGAAATACTGCATTAATTGAAAAATTGTATCATAATTATTACATAAATATTAATTAGTACCATAAAATTCTCTCAAAATGCAAAAGAAAAAACATTATTGGACAAAAATATATTAGATTGATTTTACTGGAGAAAAAAAGTTACATTTCAGGTATCCAGTCTCTTTTGACTGCGAAGACCATGAGTGTGACTCCCAAATGAGGAGCGCACAATGGTTATTCAAGTATTCTAAGGATTTTTCAGTTGCTTTGTATAAATATATATGCCAGATGTACTCAAATAAGCTCTGTTTCTGTGTTTAGTGGCATAGAAAGTTGTTTATATGCTGATATTTAATATTGCTATTTCATCTTTAGGGGGAGTGGCTTCTTCTCTTCAATTACCTCATTCCATTCTCTGAGTTGCTGGACCAATCGGGACAGATCCTGGAGCATGAAGGCAGCACAGCCAGAGTGAATTTAAGGACTGAACAGGTACTTTATTTTTATTATTATTATTTTATTTTATTTTTGTATATAAAGGTTTTGTTTCTCAGATAGACTTGCAGAGTTGATTTTAAGGCTCTTGCTGTTAATCTCAACCAGTTATATCTCTTATTCGATCAGTTGTCTTGGCTTCATTGATAAAGCCATCCATGACTGAAATGAGTGTATTTTGTCTGCCAGGTGTGCAGATTCTTGGTGTCTCTCAGTAAAGATTTTAGCTCCTACTACAACAGAGTTCACGTCCTTGGGGTAAGACATTATGAGCCTGTGTGCTTGTTTGTGAATCAATTTATGAAGTTATGTATCTGTTTATATAAGGATATTTTAGATTCTGTTAGACCCTTAGAACTGCTTATTACAAAGTTTTTATTTTATTTAACATGATTTAATGTGTATTTTGCATATTTCTGTGTGTATCAGCATTAACAGTGATTAAACAAGTTCAGGCCCATTAACTTTCCTTTCTTTCTCGTTCTCTCTCTCTCTCTCTCTCTAGGAGCCCCTGCCTCATCTTTTTAATCAGATGTTTTGTCGTTTATTGTTGCTGAGAGCATTAAGAGAACTTTACCACAGCGCCCTGGACTCCCTTAACCTTCCCCCAATTCCCCAACTATAGCATCTCCAATGCAGACATTATGCGCTAACAGCCACAAACTCTCTCCCTTAACAGCCAGCACTCTTCCATTTTTCTCAGTTATTACACCTTCGATACCTTCCTCATAGCCGTAATTGCCTAAAAAGACCATCTTGTCTGAATGGCCCAATATTCCTCTTGCCCTCAAAAAAGACTGTTTTACCACTAATAGCCATACAGAAGGCAGGACAGACCCCAATAAATCTGTCGCTCTTCACCCTTTCGTCCAGTAAATAATATTTAGTCTGAAAATTCGCCCCTAAAAATGTCAACAGAATATGCTTTCTTTCAGTGAATTGAAATTCTCCTGCACCACATTCATAGGTTTTGCCCTCCTGCATGAATATGTATTCTATGTAATAATGTTTAATTGGTGTAAGTGCCCAGCTCTATTTGTTCAACGCTGAACACATATTTACAGTGTAGCACAGTTGTTCTCACAGTCTGATAGATGCACACACAAAGTATCTGTCACCACTTTTTTTGATTAGGAATCATGTCTGCATGGTTGGCGATCATTTGGCATTCCTAAAATGTCATGATCTGGGATGCTACTTCTTTTAATATGAATATAGTCTTATCTGTACCAAATATAAAGTCTTAGTTCTCGAGTTTCCCTCAGTGTCCCCCACTGTTTATGCCACTGTAAGCGTACAGGTGTATTACTGAGCTTTCACAGATCTGTGAATATTAATTAGTACCATAAAATTCTCTCAAAATGCAAAAGAAAAAACATTATTGGACAAAAATATATTAGATTGATTTTACTGGAGAAAAAAAGTTACATTTCAGGTATCCAGTCTCTTTTGACTGCGAAGACCATGAGTGTGACTCCCAAATGAGGAGCGCACAATGGTTATTCAAGTATTCTAAGGATTTTTCAGTTGCTATGTATAAATATATATGCCAGATGTACTCAAATAAGCTCTGTTTCTGTGTTTAGTGGCATAGAAAGTTGTTTATATGCTGATATTTAATATTGCTATTTCATCTTTAGGGGGAGTGGCTTCTTCTCTTCAATTACCTCATTCCATTCTCTGAGTTGCTGGACCAATCGGGACAGATCCTGGAGCATGAAGGCAGCACAGCCAGAGTGAATTTAAGGACTGAACAGGTACTTTATTTTTATTATTATTATTTTATTTTATTTTTGTATATAAAGGTTTTGTTTCTCAGATAGACTTGCAGAGTTGATTTTAAGGCTCTTGCTGTTAATCTCAACCAGTTATATCTCTTATTCGATCAGCTGTCTTGGCTTCATTGATAAAGCCATCCATAACTGAAATGAGTGTATTTTGTCTGCCAGGTGTGCAGATTCTTGGTGTCTCTCAGTAAAGATTTTAGCTCCTACTACAACAGAGTTCACGTCCTTGGGGTAAGACATTATGAGCCTGTGTGCTTGTTTGTGAATCAATTTATGAAGTTATGTATCTGTTTATATAAGGATATTTTAGATTCTGTTAGACCCTTAGAACTGCTTATTACAAAGTTTTTATTTTATTTAACATGATTTAATGTGTATTTTGCATATTTCTGTGTGTATCAGCATTAACAGTGATTAAACAAGTTCAGGCCCATTAATTTTCCTTTCTTTCTCGTTCTCTCTCTCTCTCTCTCTCTCTCTCTCTAGGAGCCCCTGCCTCATCTTTTTAATCAGATGTTTTGTCGTTTATTGTTGCTGAGAGCATTAAGAGAACTTTACCACAGCGCCCTGGACTCCCTTAACCTTCCCCCAATTCCCCAACTATAGCATCTCCAATGCAGACATTATACACTAACAGCCACAAACTCTCTCCCTTAACAGCCAGCACTCTTCCATTTTTCTCAGTTATTACACCTTCGATACCTTCCTCATAGCCGTAATTGCCTAAAAAGACCATCTTGTCTGAATGGCCCAATATTCCTCTTGCCCTCAAAAAAGACTGTTTTACCACTAATAGCCATACAGAAGGCAGGACAGACCCCAATAAATCTGTCGCTCTTCACCCTTTCGTCCAGTAAATAATATTTAGTCTGAAAATTCGCCCCTAAAAATGTCAACAGAATATGCTTTCTTTCAGTGAATTGAAATTCTCCTGCACCACATTCATAGGTTTTGCCCTCCTGCATGAATATGTATTCTATGTAATAATGTTTAATTGGTGTAAGTGCCCAGCTCTATTTGTTCAACGCTGAACACATATTTACAGTGTAGCACAGTTGTTCTCACAGTCTGATAGATGCACACACAAAGTATCTGTCACCACTTTTTTTGATTAGGAATCATGTCTGCATGGTTGGCGATCATTTGGCATTCCTAAAATGTCAAGATCTGGGATGCTACTTCTTTTAATATGAATATAGTCTTATCTGTACCAAATATAAAGTCTTAGTTCTCGAGTTTCCCTCAGTGTCCCCCACTGTTTATGCCACTGTAAGCGTACAGGTGTATTACTGAGCTTTCACAGATCTGTGCCATACGCCACACAGTATTCAAAGCCCTGAGAGTTAATAAACACATTTAGAGTGATTGTAACATTCTCACCCTTCAAAGTTTTTGTTAGTGGTGATTTCACTCAATGTATTTAAAAAGCAGCAACCCGCAGAGACTTCATAATTAAAAGAGTGTCTGCTTCAACCTCTGAACTGGTTGTTTTTCAAGTGTGCTAATGTTTGACTATCTATCTGTACACAAGTCTTTTATTTATTTTAATGATGAGACTTTACATTGAGGGTTAATTAGTTAACATAAGTTAATGCTTAGGTAACCAACAATGAACAACTGGTTTTTTTTTCACTCAATCTAGTTTATTATTTATTTATTCATGTTTGTTCAGAATACATCAGCTAATGTTAGTTTAAATTTAAAATGTTTTATAGGATAGATGTTTATTAGATGTTAACATTTAATAGATTAATAAATGCTGTAAAAGTGTTGTTCATTGTTAATGTTAGCAATTGCATGAACTGATATTGATGTATAGAATATAGTAATTTTGTCATTTCAGTCATGTTTATTCAAAAAAAAAAAGTGATGTTAAGAGATAACATTTGTCCCATGAAATTGATTTTTAGGCATTTTACTTGTATGTGATCATTTATATATCTATATCTTCATACAAGCACATAGTGCACATCCATAGAAAAAAAGTTTAGGATCAGTAGGATTTTTTTGAAAGAATTTAATACTTTTATTCAGCAGGACTTTAAATTGATCAAAAGTGATAGTAAAGATATGTGTAATGTTACAGAATATTTCAAATAAATGCTGTTATTTTAACTTTCTGTTCATCACACAATCCTTAAAAAATTTTTTTACACTTTCCACAAAAATAGGCAGCACAGCTCTGTTTGCCACATTAATAATAATAAGAAATGATTCTTGACAATCACAAAATCAACATTAGAATGATTTCTGAAGAATCATGACACTTAAGAAATTCAGCTTTGCAATCATGGAATAAATTGCATTTTAAAATGTATTAAAATAGATTTAATTTAATTTGCACAAATATAGGCCTATCACAATATTACTATTTTACTGTATTTTTGATTAAATACAACTTATTTAAAAATGTTAAAAAATGCTGTCTCCAAACCTTTGAAATGTTAGTGTAGAAAAAAATATAGGGGCATTTGTTCTATTGAAATGTCTTGTTTTTTTTTTGTCATTCCCAGTTAATATCTCATTCCTTTCTGATCCTAAATGATACTGCATCCAAACTCGTAAGCGCATTGTATGGTTTAAATATTAATTCAATTTGAGGTGGAACCAGAATTATGTCACAGACAGGCATGACTAAACTAAAGGGTTAGTTCACCCAAAAATGAAAATTCTGCCATTAATTACTCATCTTCATGTTATTCCAACCCCATTAGAACTTTGTTCATCTTCGAAACACAAATTAAGATATTTTTGATGAATTCTGAGAGCTTTTCTGCATAGACAGCAACACAACTGACACATTCAAGGTCCAGAAAGGTAGTAAGGACATTGTTAAAATAGTCCATGTGACATCAGTGGTTCAACCACAATTTTATGACGCTAGGAGAATACCTTTTGTGCACAAAGAAAACAAAAATAATGACTTTATTCAACAGTTTCTTATCTTCTGTCACGGTGTTCACGGTTGAACCACTGATGTCACATGGACTATTTTAATGATGTCCTTACTACTTTTCTGGTCCTTGAACGTGTCAGTTGCTTTACTATCTCTGCAGGGTCAGAGTGCTCTCGGATTTCCTCAAAAATATCTTAATTTGTGTTCAAAGATGAACGAAGGTTTCGTGGGTTTGGAACAACATGAGGGTGATTAATTAATTAATGACAGAATTAGCATTTTTGGGCGAACTATCACTTTAAATATGCAGTTTGAGTTTGTAATGCTCAGTTTCAGGACTGAAAATTAATAGCAGCCACATTGCTTGAAAATTCCAAGGTTACAGTTTTCAGTGCTGTGACTGTGAGCGTGACTGTTGGTTTAAACTCTAGAATACTGACAGCCAATCTGTCCAGTAGTAACCACAGATGTCTGTATACTAAGAATGCACATGAAGATATGGTGGACATGACAGGTTTAAGAAAGTGTAAGAGCATCGTTCAGCCACTAGAGGGCAATCATGACTCATTATCTTTCTGCTAAATCTCGTTGGCTGTCTCTCCCTCTTATGTGGTTTAAGGCTGGTTAAGGCTGTCAGTCATCACTGCCGGGCATCTCTACCTTGAAGACAAAAGAGGGAGGAGAGATGAAAGGAGGCAGAGGGAGAAAAAAGGAGACTAGTGCGTGAAAGGAGTTCAAAGGATGAAGGAGTACGCTGTGTAATCGCTACAAGCAAAACTGCTGTCTTTTCAGAGGTGTGTGTGAGAGCGAGATGAATGAATGAGGTCAGGATAGTAAAGATATGTGTAATGTTACAGAATATTTCAAATAAATGCTGTTATTTTAACTTTCTGTTCATCACACAATCCTTAAAAAATTTTTTTACACTTTCCACAAAAATAGGCAGCACAGCTCTGTTTGCCACATTAATAATAATAAGAAATGATTCTTGACAATCACAAAATCAACATTAGAATGATTTCTGAAGAATCATGACACTTAAGAAATTCAGCTTTGCAATCATGGAATAAATTGCATTTTAAAATGTATTAAAATAGATTTAATTTAATTTGCACAAATATAGGCCTATCACAATATTACTATTTTACTGTATTTTTGATTAAATACAACTTATTTAAAAATGTTAAAAAATGCTGTCTCCAAACCTTTGAAATGTTAGTGTAGAAAAAAATATAGGGGCATTTGTTCTATTGAAATGTCTTGTTTTTTTTTTGTCATTCCCAGTTAATATCTCATTCCTTTCTGATCCTAAATGATACTGCATCCAAACTCGTAAGCGCATTGTATGGTTTAAATATTAATTCAATTTGAGGTGGAACCAGAATTATGTCACAGACAGGCATGACTAAACTAAAGGGTTAGTTCACCCAAAAATGAAAATTCTGCCATTAATTACTCATCTTCATGTTATTCCAACCCCATTAGAACTTTGTTCATCTTCGAAACACAAATTAAGATATTTTTGATGAATTCTGAGAGCTTTTCTGCATAGACAGCAACACAACTGACACATTCAAGGTCCAGAAAGGTAGTAAGGACATTGTTAAAATAGTCCATGTGACATCAGTGGTTCAACCACAATTTTATGACGCTAGGAGAATACCTTTTGTGCACAAAGAAAACAAAAATAATGACTTTATTCAACAGTTTCTTATCTTCTGTCACGGTGTTCACGGTTGAACCACTGATGTCACATGGACTATTTTAATGATGTCCTTACTACTTTTCTGGTCCTTGAACGTGTCAGTTGCTTTACTATCTCTGCAGGGTCAGAGTGCTCTCGGATTTCCTCAAAAATATCTTAATTTGTGTTCAAAGATGAACGAAGGTTTCGTGGGTTTGGAACAACATGAGGGTGATTAATTAATTAATGACAGAATTAGCATTTTTGGGCGAACTATCACTTTAAATATGCAGTTTGAGTTTGTAATGCTCAGTTTCAGGACTGAAAATTAATAGCAGCCACATTGCTTGAAAATTCCAAGGTTACAGTTTTCAGTGCTGTGACTGTGAGCGTGACTGTTGGTTTAAACTCTAGAATACTGACAGCCAATCTGTCCAGTAGTAACCACAGATGTCTGTATACTAAGAATGCACATGAAGATATGGTGGACATGACAGGTTTAAGAAAGTGTAAGAGCATCGTTCAGCCACTAGAGGGCAATCATGACTCATTATCTTTCTGCTAAATCTCGTTGGCTGTCTCTCCCTCTTATGTGGTTTAAGGCTGGTTAAGGCTGTCAGTCATCACTGCCGGGCATCTCTACCTTGAAGACAAAAGAGGGAGGAGAGATGAAAGGAGGCAGAGGGAGAAAAAAGGAGACTAGTGCGTGAAAGGAGTTCAAAGGATGAAGGAGAGCACGCTGTGTAATCGCTACAAGCAAAACTGCTGTCTTTTCAGAGGTGTGTGTGAGAGCGAGATGAATGAATGAGGTCAGAGGTGCCCATGGGAATTTAATGATTTTTGTAGTTGCCAGGGATAGGAGGAGAGAGAGGGAGAAAAGGTGGGTGGAGGAGGGGTGGAGATGATAGAGGAGAGTGATATTGATGAATGTTGTTCTTGTTGACGCATGGAACCCTAGACGGGAAATAACAGTGTGAGGTGGGTGTGGTTTGTGGAGTGTTGGGAAATAACACATGGAGACAGATTGTTACTATATCTGTAAGTGTCACTCTAGCGAGCGATCATTTTCTTTTGCAGTTTTAGCTACAAAGGTCTGATATCAAGCCTATTCGGGGTACAAAATTAACACTCACCAAGCACCATATACGAGTATAAATTGGCGTTGTCGCGTAAATAAAAGGGGGCATCTTGCCAGCTGGTCGATAATTTTATTAGGAGGTGCTAATCCACTGTAATCCCCGTTCATTTTCAGTCTGAGCACAACTAACAGGCTTCTAGGAAATCTGAATTCAGTTCAAAATTCTGTTCACACTCTGAACAGGATTAGTTGTGATTCATATCAGGGTCGAGTCGACTCGTGCCCTTGAGCTGTTGACTGAAGTCTGCTCAAAACATGGCTTATGTTGAATTCTAAGAATTATACTCTGAACGCTGATGGGAATGAAATCAAAGACTCACATCTTGGAATGACGTTTACCTCAGTGGAAAATGTATTAACTTTTTTAAGGCTGAATTTATTTGATCACTAATATAACAATTTAATATAACTGTTTTCCTAAAATATAATTTATTCATGTGATGGCAAAGCAGAATTTTCAGCATCATTACTCCAGTCTTCAGTGTCACATGATCCTTCAGAAATCATTCTAATATGCTGACTTGGTGCACAAGAAACCGTTAATATATAGGCCTAATAATATTGGCAATAATAAAAAACTATTTTTTGCCTTTTGATATTATTGCCTTAGCACACAATGCAATCTAAAGGTGATGAATTGCATCACCATTTTCACACTTAATTTTTTATATTCCTTGTTTAATCCCATCAGATATCAGCCAAAACTGCAGTGTTGCCAGAACAGTCTGCCTCACCGCAGCATCTAATTAAAACAA